GTGGTCAGGGTGACACACGGCCTGCAATGAAGTTCCCGCTGGCGGGTACAAACAAGGTATAATGTCAGAGTTAGAAGACAACATTCTTGTTTTCCTTAAGTTGTACCCATTTCAGTACTTTACCTGTTAATAGTTCTAAAAAAGTTTAATTATTCCTCTAGACCACCTGGTACACAAAGCAAACAGAAAAACTCTTAAGTTTTTCTGTAGTACTAAAGAAAGTGAGATAAGACTTTAAAGTTAAAGATCTATAGACACTTTAGGCAAAAGAGGCTCATAAAGCAATTAAAAAGTTAACAATTTAGTAAAAACAGACTACATAATATTGTTTTTACTTATTTTTCATTTGTCTATTGATCTTTAAATTAAATTAGACATTTCCACTGGTTTCTTGTACTCTTACACACACCTGTTTTCTCCAACATCCTCCTTTAGTATGGCTGGTAATTGTTTTGGTGATTGCCACCCCCTCGAGACGCCTTGCCGTAAGTGCTCTGTTGCCCTAGTTTGGAAACACACAAAAATTTTATTAAAATAGTTTTCTATGAAATGGTTTCATTATAAATACTTTAAAAAGCTATTAAACATGTACAATTCTGCATGCCAAATGTTAAAATTATCAGATTATCTTAGATAGGCATTATAAACTAGTCACGTATCACATATTCTAAAACATTTCTAACCACCAAAGTTTTTACGTTAGTATAATCACCCGGTAACTATCAAATGCCTAAAAGCTTAACTCCAACACTTCAAGAACAGAAAACCCACACACAAACAATTTCAGAACAGGATTGTACTTTAACATGGAATTTTAATACCATTGGTTTATGAAATTAAGTTAAATATTCTTACCACTGTAGTCTGCATATCCCTGTCCATATCCATAGTTCCCATAGTTATACCCAGTATAATCATAGCCGCCATAGCCACTATAGTTTTGATCACCACCATAGGCACTATTGTAATTTCCATATCCTTGATCATAATAGTTATTAAATCCTTGGTTCCAGTTTTGGCCCTGACCTGAAACAATGCACAATGATTGTTAGATTAACAACTTCTGATCCCGATCCTAACACAAAATGTTGTGTTCCTGTCCCTCACTCTGAAAATCTTGAACAGGTGGAATGAACATCTATATAGTCATCTAAGAAAATTATCATTCCAGTTGTCACAAAAGGGGGCAGAAAGTCCAATTGTGCCAATTATCAAGCTTCCTAAATTTAATGGAAAAATCAGAACAAAGGTGAAGACAGGTAGGCTGTTTAGTTTTAAAACAAGAACTCCTGCTCCAAAAAACCCAGCATGCCATGGTGTTATATAACCTTAACTACATTAAATCGGTATTACTTTCTCATTAAAAACGACACTGTCAGAGAGACCATTCTTCGAAGAGGTGAAACCGTAAACTAAGTAACAAAAACCCATCCACTAACTTGAGCATTTTTTATGTTGAAAATCTGGCTTTACTTTCTCATGAGCTTATTCCCATTTTGCAGTTTATAGCTTAAACCAAGAAATCATTTTCAAAGGATTAAATTCCGAAGAATTAAGCCTCACCTCGTCCACGACCCCTAGTACCACCTCGTCCACCAGCTGCAGCACCTCTTCCTCCTTTTTGTTGTTGCTGTTGCTGCCTGTATACCTCTTTGGGTTGTGCAACTTTGATTTCACACTATAAGCACATTAAAACAACTTTTTTACTGTAACGTCAAGCCATTTTATTCTTCTCAAAACAAACAGAAATCTCATCTGAAGAAAACAAAACAAACCACCTTCAAATTTTCATTTAATAGAAACAAAATGGCTTTACCTTCCCAGAACCAATTTGATGATATCTGCTTTCTAACAATTTCTTTACTGGCTCTTCGTCTGTATATGTAATAAAACAAAATCCTCTTCTTTCATTTGTTTTTGTATCCATGGGAAGTTCAATATTTTCAATCTGAAATCAAGAAGCACACTCGAGATCATCCAGCAATGATAAAAGCTACCAGAAGGTATAATAACACCAAAAGTCCCCGGTCCCTTTCAAGTGTCATGTAACATGCTGCACATTACTGTAGTCAGATTGCTTCTGTACAGAAACTCGTATTTTATTATCAACATCGCACCACAAACATTCATCTGTGAAGCAGAGAACAAAACTTAATTTTATTATTTTGTACCTAACAGATGCCACTGGTTAAGTCCAAGCACTGACCACCCCAAAGCACCTGTGTTTTGGCCAAAATAAATTAAGATGTTTGTTTCCATCGTAGGATAGAAAAGACAGCGATTAAGGTACAGTTACTTGAAAGGACCTGAGCAATTAATTTAACCTCTTCCTCACCTGACAAATCAATTTGTTCTGTAAAAAGCTGGGGATTAACATTACATAAACACACCAAGTATGAAACACATATAAATGTAATCATAGAGCGCACCTCTCCAAAGGCTCCAAAATATTCTTTAATTTGTTCTTCAGAAGTATCTGGGCTCAATCCACCCACAAAAACCTTTTTGGGGGGTTCTTTCCCTTTTAAAGCTTTGGCCCTTTTGGGGTCTATCAATTTGCCATCCAATTTGTGTTCTTTCAGTTCCAAGACCTAGAAGACAAATGTATTTAATTTGACAATATACAACCAAACCCCCAATTTGCAAAAAAAGCACACAGAAGCAGCACAATGCAAAGTACCTGCTCCTACCTTATCAACACTAGCAGCATCTTTGAAAAGCACAAATCCAAATCCTCTTGATCTTCCAGTCACTGGATCTGTTTTTATTGTACAGTCTACAACTTCCCCAAATCGAGACAAATATTCAGTCAGATCTTTCTTGCTCGTATCCCAGCTCAAGCCTCCAATAAACATTTTACTAGAAATAAAGTTGTTTTTTTTAAAAAAGATTAGCAGCACCTCAAGGATTACTTCAGTTCTGTAATTACGTTTAACTACGAAATTAACAAGGAGGGAGGCGTTTCACCGTATATCCAAGTAATTCAATACGTGTCTACACATCCCATACAAACAAAAGACCACAAAACCCCCCAAATTCCATCGAGATCACTTATTCGAAACAGTGGACAGCTTGCTCACCATACTGCATAATACGAAATTTAAACGAGGCCAACAAAGTTAGTTCTACATCGATTTAGTTTTAAAAATCCAACTTCCTAACCTGATCCCTCACAACTTCGGTCCGCCCCCTTCCACAGCTGTCAAGGCTATGTTCCACCTAAAGTACTCATAGCGCGTTCTGGGGATCCGGGTACCAGTCACACACTGATTCCCAAACTAAGAATTTCCTAAACTCTCCCCAGTAAAACTGTGCGGGGGCCCTAGCACAGACACAATAAAAAGGCGGCGGCAGCTGCAGCATGTGGCGCAGCGATGCCGGCCCCTCCCCCTCGGGCCCCACGCGGCGCCTGCGCACTCGGGACACAGACGCCGCCGCCCTCCTCCTCCAACTCCCCCGCCCTTCCCCCACCTTCCGCGGGCCTCTCGAGTCACCCCCTCCGTCTCCTACTTTCCTCTTCCCCCCAAGCTATTGCGGCCTAGCGGGCACGCGGGGAATCGACTCGGGGCAAGAACCGGGGCAGCACGCGGCTCCCGAGGGATGAAGGGCGCGTGCGGCGCGCTGGGGGAGGGGGAAGAGAGGAGAAGCGTGCGGTACCCGTCATCCTGCTGATTCTTGCTCGCGTTGATCTTGGATCCCTCTGCGAATTCCTCTATGTTGCTGTACTCGTTCATGTCCTCCATGGTGGCGGAGTTGTCGGCCGGGGGGTGCTGGCGCGCAGTCCGGGTCGCGGCAGCAGCGGCGGCGGAGCGTTGTATGGAGCTGGATTTAAAATGGCGGCGGAAGAGATCCGGGCGCCGCCTGCGCCCTCCCTTTATAGCCGCCCCGCCCGCCAATCGGGAGGGCTGCTGGGCGGTGACGTGGCGCTGGGCCCGGCGCGCCCCCTGCCGGGCGGAGCTGGAAGCGAGCGAAGGGAGGAGCGGGGCGAGCTGCCGCGGCGCCCGCGGCCGCCAATGGGAAAGGCTGCGGGAGGCTAAAGTAGCGGGAGCGGAGGGGAACAATGGCGGCGGCACATGGGAAAGCCGGGGCGGGACCTCCATCGCGGCCCTCCCGGTGAGAAGCGAGGTCGTGGGTGAGGGGACGCGGGCTTAAGATGAGAGAAGCGTCAGAAGAGAAAAACGAAGGGGCGAAAAGTCCTGGGGTCAAAAATCCCGAGCAGCGCCGTCGCAGGGCCACAGTCCCTCTTGTCTTGAGAGCCTTTGTCTCTGGCGTCCGGTCCAGCCCACTCCTAGTAAAGAGCCGTCAACCCCGCCTTTTTCCAAAGCCCTCGGTCCCCCAGTACGGACTGCTGCGGTGGCGGCTGTTGCTATCGATTAGCACCGTGGCCGGGTTGCTCCGGAAAAAAGGCGGACTGCGACCGGCGCCGGCGGCTGAGACAGCAAGCGCGCCCGCCCGCCCGTCTGCCGCGCGCACGCGTGTTTTGTCCTCGAGCTGGCTGGAACCAGCCGAACAGGAAGCGGGCACGCGGCGGCCCCTCCGGGCAGCGGCGCGGCGCGGGTGCCTCTTCCGCTACCGCGGCAGGCCTCCCTAACCGATCGGCCGGAGCCCGGGCCAACGCAGTCAGGCAAACCAGTCCCGGCACGGCCTCTTTTGCTGGCTGAGGACGGGAGGAGGGGCGCGAGCCCGATCAGGTTACTGTAAATATGCAAAAGCGGAGGCAGTGGGCGGGGAGGGGGCTAGGTGCCGTAGAGGGCAAGGGGCACTCACATCCCCGGCGCGCCACTCGCGGGGCTCCTTTCTGCACGTGCCCCGGGCCTCTCCCGCTCGCTCAACCAGTCTGCGAAGAGCGCGCGCGCGCCCGCGCACCCGGCTCCCGCGTTCGCTTCTTTGTTCCCGCCCACGCGAGGCCCATTTTGACGGATCGGGTTCGAGGCTCTCTGGTGGCCAATCGGCGTCGGCGCCTTTACCTCCCCCCACCCCTTCGGAACTCCGCCAGGGCCGCCCCCTTTCCCTGCCCACGTGGTCTCGGCCTCCGGCCCTAGGCAGCTAGGTAGTTCAGGGCCCCTGTGCTGCCGTCTTATCCACCTTCGGGGGAGCGGAGGTGGCCCTGTTCCTCGTGCTTCGGGCCGCACGCGGCTGCCGGGTGGGAGATTTTTGCGGGGCTGTCGGAAGCCCAGGACTGTGCTGGGGGCGCAGTGTGCGCCGCCCTCCGCCCTTTCTTCCAGTAGGCCGATTCCGGTAGTTGCATCCGGTAGGGAAATGGTCGTGCTTTCCGTGCCCGCCGAAGTCACTGTGATCCTGTTAGATATCGAAGGTACCACAACCCCGATTGCTTTCGTGAAGGTGAGGGGCGGAAGGGAGCGGGGAAGTGACTTGTGCTTAAAAGCAATTAAAAAACATTTTTAAAAAAGTGTTGCATACCTTGTACCAGAGACATGAGGCGTAGGAGAGGCGGTGTTGTGGCTTTGAACCCGCTGTGGGGTGGGGGGAAGTAGTGCGGCGGGTTGCGGGGATGCTTTTCGTCACCGTACTCTGTTCGTCCTCCCCAGTCCCTGCCCTTGGTTCATGTAGATGGGTGGGAAAGGGGTGGAGATGGTGGCGAAAAAGGGCGGAGGAGGCAGATCCGCCCGGGTGGGGAGAGGGGACGTGGGCGCCCCCCACCGGCCAGGTGTGCGCCCCGTCGTCCCGCAGGTGAGCGCCTGCTTGGCTCTGGGTTGGGCCCATCTAGGCGGCGGCCGCGATGCAGTGGTCCTGGAGGCTTCTAGTCCCGCAAAACGTAGACTGAAGGGTCAAGATGACTTTTCAGTTAGCCCTGGTATCTTGGGCCGTGGTGGTTACTCTTCGCCGAACCCTCCTACTCCTGCTATTAGTGTGCCGAACTGCACTCTGTGTTATTGGGCTAGACACTGCGGAACGCTGTGCTGATTTATTAAGCTATAAAACAAACATGTCTAGATTCCGTTCATTTTCCTTTTAAAACCACGGAAAGTTGAACCTCTTATCCAGAACCTCTATCGTAGCCTCTGTCACTCATTAACTAATTGTCTACACCTAATTCGTAAACTTATAGCTCTGCATTATAGCAGGGCTTTAAAAAAAAAAAACACCTGTATTCTATCAATGAATATTAAATACTAATATAATTTTAAAAAGAATTTCTCGGGCCTAGTCGACGCTTTATTCGACTTAATAACGGTTTAAGATGAAAGCATTAACTAGGAGGGTTTGCATACAATAATAGATATTGTTTACAATGTAGGGAAAAACCATCTTCCAACAAATTGAGCAGTCTGAGTTTAAAATTTTTTTAAGTTAGTTTTATTTTTTTTTAAGGTTTTGTTTATTTGAGAGAGAGAGAGCACATGAGAAGGGGGAGAGTCAGAGGGAGAAGCAGACTCCCCGCTGAGCAGGGAGCCCGATGCGGGACTCGATCCTGGGACTCCAGGATCGTGACCTGAGCCGAAGGCAGTGGCTTAACCAACTGAGCCACCCAGGCGCCCTAAGTTAGTTTTATTTTTAAAATTGCCTGTGAAGAATGATTTTTTTTGATGTGGATTATAATGTAAAATCAGTGTACACTTTTAGGACTCCAATATAACAACCACTTACACATTTTCGAAAGAATCACAATACCGTATTAGCACAAGTTCTTAAGAAATGTAGTTTGACATTTTTTTCTGTTTTTAATTACACCAGAGGACTCTGCAGAAATAGTCAGGATTGACCAAATGCTGGTAATGGAGTTGACTTTTTTCTTAATGACTGACAGAATAACTGCTTTCTCAGGGTTTTCAGAGAGAAAAGGATTCCTCATCTTTGTGGGTTATAGTTCACAGCTTATTAACTTCACCAGGGATAATAACAGGAGAGGTAGTGATGCGGCATAAGATCATGTACCATTCTTGGAAAGTTGATTAGGGACTAGGATACCTCATGCAGATCAGTTTTGTAACAAAACATAGGTGCCTCTCCCTCCTCTCCAGTCCCAGCCAATCCTTTCTTTTGTCAGATGACATGAGCCACTTCTTGACATCTTCGTTACGGTAGATTTATCCTGACATTTTTCTGAGAGTTAAAATGTCTTCATGGCCTAAATAGATTTTTTTTTTTTTTGAGTTTGACACTGATCTGTAGGTAAAGTCAAGGCAGGCTGCAAAAAATGATTTCGGGGGGGGGTTTGTTTATTTTTTAAATTTTATTTAATTATGTTAATCACTATACATTACATCATTAGTTTTTGATGTAGTGTTCCATGACTCATTGTTTGCGTATAACACTCAGTGCTCCATGCAGAACGTGCCCTCTTTAATACCCATCACCAGGCTAACCCATCCCCCCACCCCCCTCCCCTCTAGAACCCTTTTTGTTTCTCAGAGTCCATAGTCTCTCGTGGTTTGTCTCCCCCTCTGATTTCCCCCCTTCATTTTTCCCTTCCTACTATCTTTTTTGTTTTTTAACATGTAATGTATTATTTGTTTCAGAGGTACAGGTCTGATTCAACAGTCCTACACAGTTCGCAGTGCTCACCATAGCACATACCCTCCCCAGTGTCTATCACCCAGGCACCCCATCCCTCCCACCCCACCCCCACTCCAGCAACCCTCAGTTTGTTTCCTGAGACTAAGAATTCCTCATATCATTGAGGTCATATGATACATGTCTTTCTCTGATTGACTTATTTTGCTTAGCATAATACCCTCTAGTTCCATCCACATCGTTGCAAATGGCAAGATTTATTGTTTTTTTTTTTGATGCCTGCATAATATTTCATTGTATATATATACCACATCTTCTTTATCCATTCATCTGTTGATGGACATCTTGGCTCTTTCCATAGTTTGGCTATTGTGGACATTGCTGCTATAAACATTGGGGTGCACGTACCCCTTCGGGTCCCTACATTTGTATCTTTGGGGTAAATACCCAGTAGTGCAATTACTGGGTCATACGGTAGCTCTATTTTGAACTGTTTGAGGAACCTCCATACTGTTTTCCAGAGTGGCTGCACCAGCTTGCATTCCCACCAACAGTGTAGGAGGGTTCCCCTTTCTCCGCATCCTCGCCAACATCTGTCCTTTCCTGACCTGTTAATTTTAGCCATTCTGACTGGTGTGAGGTGGTATCTCATTGAGGTTTTGATTTGGATGTCCCTGATGCTGAGCATTGTTGAGCACTTTTTCATGTGTCTGTTGGCCATTTGGATGTCTTTGGAAAAATTTCTGTTCATGTCTTCTGCCCATTTCGTGATCGGATTATTTGTTCTTTGGGTGTTGAGTTGGTAAGTTCTTTATAGATTTTGGATACTAGCCCTTTATCTGATAGTCATTTGCAAATATTTTCTCCCATTCTGTCGGTTGTCTTTTGGTTTTGTTGACTGTTTCCTTTGCTGTGCAGAAGCTTTTTATCTTGATGAAGTCCCAATAGTTCATTTTTGCCCTTGCTTCCCTTGCCTTTGGCGATGTTTCTAGGAAGAAGTTGCTGCGGCTGAGGTCGAAGAGGTTGCTGCCTGTGTTCTCCTCTAGGATTTTGATGGACTCCTGTCTCACATTTAGGGCTTCCATCCGTTTTGAGTCTACTTTTGTGTGTGGTGTAAGGAAATGGTCCAGTTTCATTCTTCTGCACATAGCTGTCCAATTTTCCAAATTTTCCATTTCTTGAAGAGACTGTCTTTTTTCCATTGGACATTCTTTCCTGCTTTGTTGAAGATTAGTTGACCATAGAGTTGAGGGTCCATTTCTGGGCTCTCTATTTTGTTCCATTGTTCTATGTGCCTGTTTTTGTGCCAGTACCATGCTGTCTTGATGATTACGGCTTTGTAATAGAGCCTGAAGTCCGGAATTGTGATGCCACCAGCTTTGCTTTTCTTTTTCAACACTCCCCTGTTATTCGGGGTCTTTTCTGGTTCCATACAAATTTTAGGATTATTTGTTCCATTTCTTTGAAAAAAGTGGATGATATTTTGATAGGGATTGCATTAAATGTGTAGATTGTTTATGAGCATGGAACATTTTTCCATTTCTTTGTGTCTTCCTCAATTTCTTTCATGAGTATTTTATAGTTTTCTGAGTATAGATTCTTTGCCTCTTTGGTTAGATTTATTCCTAGGTATCTTACGGTTTTGGGTGCAGTTGTAAATGGGATCGACTCCTTAATTTCTCTTTCTTCTGTCTTGTTGGTGTATAGAAATGCCACTGATTTCTGTGCATTGATTTTATATCCTGCCACTTTACTGAATTCCTGTATGAGTTCTAGCAGTTTTGGGGTGGAGTCTTTTGGGTTTTCCACATAAAGTATCATATCATCTGCAAAGAGTGAGAGTTTGACTTCTTCTTTGCCGATTCGGATGCCTTTCATTTCTTTTTGTTGTCTGATTGCTGAGGCTAGGACTTCTAATACTATGTTGAACAGCAGTGGTGATAGTGGACATCCCTGCCGTGTTCCTGACCTTAGGGGGAAAGCTCTCAGTTTTTCCCCATTGAGAATGATAATTCGCTGTGGGTTTTTCATAGATGGCTTTTATGATATTGAGGTGTGTATCCTCTATCCTACTATACTGTGAAGAGTTTTAATCAAGGAAGGATGCTGTACTTCGTCAAATGCTTTTCTGCATCTATTGAGAGGATTATATGGTTCTTCTTTCTTTTATTAATGTATCACATTAATTGATTTGCAGATGTTGAACCAGCCTTGCAGCCCAGGAATAAATCCCACTTGGTCGTGGTGAATAATCCTTTTAATGTACTGTTGGATCCTATTGGCTAGTATTTTGGTGAGAATTTTTCCATCCATGTTCATCAGGGATATTGGTCTGTAATTCTCCTTTTTGATGGGGTCTTTGTCTGGTTTTGGAATCAAGGTAATGCTGGCCTCATTAAATGAGTTTGGAAGTTTTCCTTCCATTTCTATTTTTTGGAACAGTTTCAGAAGAATAGGTATATTAATTCTTTAAATGTTTGGTAGAATTCCCCTGGGAAGCCATCTGGCCCTGGGCTCTTGCTTGTTGGGAGGTTTTTGATGACTGCTTCAGTTTCCTTCGTGGTTATAGGTCTGTTCAGGTTTTCTATGTTTTCCTGGTTCAGTTTTGGTAGTTTATACATCTCTAGGAATGCATCCATTTCTTCCAGATTATGTAACTTGCTGGCATATAGTTGCTCGTAATATGTTCTTATAGTTGTTTGTATTTCTTTGCTGTTGGTTGTGATCTCTCCTCTTTCATTCATGATTTTATTTATTTGGGTCATTTCTCTTTTCTTTTTGATAAGTCTGGCCAGGGGTTTATCAGTCTTGTTAATCCTTTCAAAGAACCAGCTCCTCGTTTCATTGATCTGTTCTACTGTTCTTTG